ATGACTGACTGACTGACTGACTGACTGACAGACTGACTGACTGACTGACTGAATGAATGACTGACTGACTGACCGGCTGACTGATTCACTGACTGACTGACTGACTGACTTGTCTGCTTGTAGCAAATTACCGGGTACTTCCATGTCTTCATGTTCCACTGGTAAAGATCTGATCCCCAGCTGCTCTGACAATGACTCCAAGTTGTTTGAATCGGTACCGGTGTCAAGCAATTGGGCTAACTCTTTTCTTTCTCTCAGACTCAAGTGGCTTATGTGATCATGCGGCATTGTATATCTCCTGATTCCGCAATACCTCACAACAACCGCCATTTCGTTTATCCCACAGCTTTCAAGAACGACTCTGGCGTTTGGGCCGACTTCATGCAGCTTTTGATCAACTTCTTCCAATGGGTAACCCTCGAATTTCTTCCGACGCAACATCTTAATGCTGACGGCTTTGTGCACAACCTCGACTCCTCCGGCAACCTCGTCAAGTAGTCCATCCCTTATGCTTTCGATGAATTTCAAGTAGTCATAGCAACGCTCTTCGCATCCTTTGGGAGCCCACACACAGCAATTCACAGCTTTAAGGCTTGAAGAAAGCGTAGCAAGGATCTCCACCGCGTCATCCGCAATCTTGATGCCACCGTGCCAAACGGGACTTTTGTGTCCAAACCGCCTTAGTAATCGAATCTGGAACTTTGGAAAGAAGCTGCATGGAAGGGTGTCTACTCTGTTTTTGCATTCCACAATACGACCAACAACGCAGAGGCTGTCACCTGAAGTACCAAACTGCGGCCAAACATCGTCCAGATTGAAGCGATTCTGCTCCAAATGGCTCGGAAAGAGGTAGTTGTCACAGATCAGGNCACATTTGGGTGTAAAGGTGGCGAATTCAATAATTTCGATAAGTTGTCAGACCGCGAGATTTATGTCTTTTCTTCAAGACCGAGCCTCTTTTACCCTTGTATAAGACATCGACACTTTGAGAAGATGTCAAGAAGGCGTGATCCCTGAAATTTGAAATAAATACGTAATATTGATACGAAATATAAAATTTGACCAATGTTTTCATGTAGGGATCCGATGGACAGATTGGCAGGGAAGCACGTGATAACGAAAACGTTGAACCCTATCACATCGGTGTAAGAAAAATGTAATGCCAGCGTTCAGTACAAAATGAAAATTCGAAAAATTAGCCGCCGTCGTTCGCGCTCTCAAAATGACGCAGAAGTTAGTCATTTCACGTTGTTATGTTATAGAGAACGGCTAAGAAATGTACAAAGACTTATAACGCACGTGCACAGCCATTGATCTGCTCAGTTAACCTTTTGTTTGGTGGCGTTCTCGTTGCCGTTGCCCTCGTGGTTTGGTTAAAGGCCCTAGCTAATGAATCAAGAGAGAAACATCACCTTGATTATTTTCGCACGGAGTTCTCCGAGGCAGTCACGCAGCGCACTGAATTCATGGCCACCCGGGTTGGTGCAATCCAGCACCATAACTTTGGGATAAAAATTCAGGTACGCCTGGAAGCCATCCATTGCCATTCTGAAATAAGCTTTGGCTCGAAGCTGAGGATCACCGTCCACCTTGTCAGCGTGTGACGCGATCAGAACGACCTCCGGTCGATAACGAAGAACTCCACATTTTGTCTCCCTTGCCTTCAAGGATCCTAGATGATGAAACAAATCATCCTCGACTTCACTGTCCTTTTTACTCAAGTCGAATAAGACCAGAGAAATTGACGTTTTCTTTCCAATGAAGTACTCGTTACTTGTGAAGGCCCATGTATGTCCCGCCATGTCCATTTTACGGAACTTGCCAGCCCCTGGTACGTTGATGATGCCAACTTCTATCCCAGCAGTTCTTGATGCCATATCTTGGCTTGTGTCCGGTTGTTCGTGCCTGAATCGGAGCTGAATGGATCTCATTTGCAGTTTTTCCACGAGGGTCGTCTTTCCCGCGTTGACGGCGCCGCAGACGTTCAGAGTGACGTAGGAAGGCGGGTCTGATCCGTCCTTGAGAAGGGAGCAACGGACCTTGTAACTCTTTACGGTAAAAAAAAAATGGAAAAGCACAGTTATCTAGTGAACACAGGTATTGAAGAGAAACGCCAGTTTAAGAAAAAACATAGAATAACAAAAAGCAACACTGTCAGCAAAAACTTCCAAAATTACGTCCATTAACTACTGTCTTGGATAGCTTTTAGGTACAATAGCAAAAAAAAAA